GAGCTAGCATACAATGAGTTCCACATAATTTTAGGACCGTCAGTAACCACGTCAACTCGAAATGCAAAAGTTTGTCACCACGAGGAATCGAACTAGGGACCCCCTTTTTGGTATTCAGAGGGCCGTTCAGGAAAAATTAACCATGGTTCTGTGGTTCCCGCATGTGCCCCTATATCATGCAAAAGACCGTTTTGAAAAAGCTTGGCACCCCAACGACCTTCCTGGTTAGTCCTAGGGGTTACCCCCATATCCTGTGATTGCGCCTGAATTTGTATAGGTAGTGGCTATTTTTTGCGCTACCGTACGCTGTCTTACTTGCCTGTTTCAGAACGATATAATCGTGCAACACAGCAGGTAGTCGAAATCCACATAGAGAACATTGAGGCAGAAGATCTCTTCGCTGATAGGAATGGTCTTTCAGGTATATCTCTCCAAAATATACACCTACATTATTTACACGATGTTCTTTGAGGCAAATTGATCAATTCTGTGAGGGAGGCATTTCGAGGGAAGGACGTGCACCCATATATCTACAACATTCAGCCGGCTTTTCAGGTGCCGCTGGGGAAGGAGCATCTCTTTGGAGGTCAAAAAACAGGGTGATGTGGTTTTTACGTTTCCGATTTTTTAGTCACCTTTATGATAAATTACTAGCCTATTGCAAAATATAACACTCCAAAATTCACGCGATTGTACGATGGCGTCACTTATAACTTGTAATCACATTAGATTAACCTCGAAATTTTAAAGGCAGTTGCCGCGATTGGTGGAGTTCAGTGCGGTTAAGATGATGTCGTTAACGTCCCTAATGGTAGGGCATGATTGGTGGTCGCAACCATACCCCTTTAGCGCGCTGAAAGATCAAATCCGTCAATGACGTTCAATGACGTCATAAAAACCGGACCGCCCTCCAACCATCGTGATCACAACCCTTGAGATTATTACTTCGTTAAAAGAATGTAGTGTCTGAAGATAGGCAATGGAAGAGAAATCTAATCACTTTCTAAGGCCCTAACGCCATTGTCGCGCGTTTTGAGCCGCGACAACTGCAAAACTGTGGTATGTGAGGGGTACTCTATCCATTCCACAGAATAAATTGTTTTACGCCAACTTATGTGGGGTTGTTGCTTTGAGCACAAACCTAATAAGCATTATTGACCTAGTGCACAAATAAATAAGAAAACAAAAATAATCAAAAATCTCCGCATTCGTAAAAATTGTGTAGTCCCGCATCGAGGGGGATTGTCTCACGTGGTAGAAAAATGTCGCTTCCATTTCTTCTCTCGCTTTTTCTTATTTCCAGTGATTTTGATGTGGGTCCCCACAGAATGCCCGCCCGTGGCGCAACGAGAAGGCAGAGACGCAGACGGGTCAGCGGACGAGTCGCAGCGCGTACTGTAGTGATTTGGCGTCAAGTTAAATAGAATGTATATAGTACGTCCCACATCGCACAGCACGCGCTGCGACTCGTCCACTGACTCGTCTGCGTCTCTGCCTTCTCGCCGCGCCGGGCCTCCTGTCGGGTATCCTTTTGATGTCTCGATACTTTTCACACATTATAATGTAAAACATGTGCATGTATATTTCTTGTGTTTATTAGGGGGTTATACGTTACAACTCAATCTAAGCTAGTTGACCAGCACCAAAAAATGAACTCAATAGACTAATTCCAGGTCTCTGGTATCCGTGGGAACACAGCGAGGTTTTCGTACAAATGTGCACAAACTAGTACACCATTTACAAGTAAATCCCGCTTTCTGTAAAAAACGGCTTCTGGTGGTACTGAATAAATATTTTTCCCCCACCTTCAACGTCGACTGGTGTCGCACTAGAATCGTACGTTAAATATTTATCGTGCACAAGAGCTTTACTGTAGCCAAGCTCAGAAATGAAAACCACATCAATAAAATACTTTCAGCGGAATATGACTTTGCAGCAAGCAATCACAGCAGAACCGAGTGCGCTCAGCTCTGTCGACACTGTCATCAGACATAAACAGGTTTTCATTAAAAAACTTCAGTCTCAAGTATTTGATATTTAGAAGATAAAGTCAAGACATAGTAACATTTCCAGGTTCCTATTGTTCGGTTTCAGCCAAACGCAGAAGTAGGAGCAACGTCTGAAGGATACACGTTTTGGGAAAGCGTTCTAGTGTTTCCTCTGATAGCGGTGTTCTGTATCGTGCTCGTTCTTGTGTTGAGCCTCATATTTTTTGGCAAAAGAGAAGGCCAGCAATGGAGAGACTATAAAACTGCAAAGTAGGGATGCCTAGAAGTTTTTGCATCCTCTTTTCTTTATGTTCATAACCTCCTTTCTTCCCTATCAGAAAATCAATAACCTTAATGGCAATGAACACGATGCTGGAGGGTGGAGCTTTTTTTGATGCATTAGACGTTATTTGTGGGCCGGACTCCTCAGCGCGTTGGGACGCCTTTCCACCAGCCACGCTTAATGACGTCACCAAAATCGCTCCGCCCTTCAGCCATCGTGTTCGCTGCCTTTAATTCCTATTCATCTCAGAGAACAATTGGACGAATATGTAAATGTACGACAAAGTCAACGACATCTAAGAGAACTTTCTGCACAGCGACAGTTGCTTCTGATGGCTCGAGGTCTTCACCAGTCGTCAAGATGTGGTAAGCGAATGGATTGAAACATTCGGTCTTTAAGTCCTCATATCTATTTCCCAATTAAGGTGTACATTCATTTCTGCAACCCAAGTATAAAGGAGCGCAAACTGGGAACGATTCATTGGAAAAATTTAGCAAAAGTGGCAGCAAACTTGAAGATATCAATGGTTGGTTTTTTTTCTGAAAATCGATATTGTCGCCGAGTAAGCAAGCGATGGACCAGCACTAGCCTTAGAAAATGTCAGAGTAGTGCTGGGAAGGGTCCAGCTATAGAACGTTTCATAATAGAAAACAACGAGCCTTACCCTAATTTCCGGTAGATAAGCCCGCGCCGATATCACGTAAAAACACCTCCGCTCGTGCAGTGTAATTTTGTACACCTTAGAAACTACCGCAAATTTGCCTATAGAGGTAATTCGATGCCCTGATTACGAAAATGACTTTCATTTTTAGCGGTGGCGCCATCTGGCGCCAGTTGGCGTCACCTTGTCACGACACCTGTTTTCACCAAATTTGGTGTAAACTTCGTATAGGGGTTATTTGGTGTCCTGATTACGAATATGACATTCATTCTCGGCGCTGGCGCTATTTGGCGCCTATTTTCTGCTCGTCTGCGCTCTCCAACCGAGAAATATGCGTTGAACAACGTTAATGCCAAAAACGAATGTCATATTCGTAATCAGGGCACCAAATAACCCCTATACAGAAGTTTACACCGATTTTGGTGAAAACAAGGGTCGTGACAAGGTGACGCCAACTGGCGCCAGATGGCGCCACCGCTAAAAAT